CTTAGTCCGGGGATGACCAAATGCTCCTTGATCGAAGTGGTATAACTCCAAATTTCCCACACCAACCATCACCAACCCATGATGTGATTTCCGGGAAGTTCCAGAATGAAGGGCTCAAAGCAGCCTCGTCACCAGTCAGGTAGGACGCTGGGTCCTGTGGAGACTTGAGCAGCATGCCAACATCTTGTGGAACTTTTCAGCATTCTTGGGCTTGGTCAAGCATAGGGCCTGTGGGCGAGAGCAGCTTCATGTTGCCTCCTAGGTCAAGGCATTCTGTTTCTCATCCTCGAAACTGTTCTGCAAGGAGGGCCTCCGTGGACAGCAGCGATGCGACCCTGTGTTGCTTGTGACCGCAAATAGGACCATACCTGCGGGTTGTGCAAACTGTATTGTGAGCCAAGGCAAGTGTCCACGTGCAACCACACATAGGAATTTCCCCCAACGCCTTTCCAACGCTCAGGGTGTGGTCTACTGAACAAGTTCACAATGATGCCCTTGGCCTTCGCGTGAGATCTTCGTGCTCTGCGGTTCCAGGGTGGGTTCTCAGCCTCTTGACCCTGTCCAACCATATGTTTCAGCACTTCAAGCGGTACTTCAGGAAATCTCAATGCCCACCATGAAGCTTGACTTTCATTCAACGCGGAGGTGCGACCCTGCTCAGCTTCAAACTGCTCAAGCATCTGTAGTGCACTGCCACGATCCATCACAGGGCATCCGTTGCGGAGCCAACAACTGACATCACGAATTTCAGGATGGCGGATGACACATCCAGTGCGCCGCCAAGAGATGTTGAAGCCCTTCTCAACCTGCAGACTCAAGGGGATGATGGGTTCAACCTCAGTCAAAGACAAGAGTGTAGAGTGGCCAGGATGGCGAAACAAAGTGGTTGTCCCCTGCGCCAACTCCACCTTGATGGGATGTAGATCATCACGCTCATGTGGATGGGCCATTCTGAGGGCCCTCCATCCAGTAGAGCGAACCGATCACAGGCGGTTTCACCCAAACCAGTGCATAGACCGCAAGGTCTTCAACAATGAAGCCGCTTCAGCGAGCAAACCCGCTGTCTGAGCATCATGCTTCACAGGCTTTTCAGGTTCATCTTGTTTGATCGTGCAAGTCTTACCACCCCCCTTGATCTTGGCATTCTTCTTGAAGTCTTTTGAGGCCCTGTCGCGACCATAGGGACAATCTTTAGCAACATGGTTTTCTCCTGAGCAATGAAATTTAAGCGCCTGTTGTTCTTGTTGATGTTGTCCCAGGAGTGAGCGAAGCTGCAAGAGTCAGCCCGTTTGCAACCCTCCTGAGTGCCCCAGTAGCGACACGCCTGTTTTGGCTTCTTTTCTGGGCTATCAGTGCCATTCAACCACCTCCACCACCAAAGGCTTTCACACTCACCTGAGGAGCAGTCGCTGAAGTCGCAGCCGTAGAAGCGCCCTTTGCGGTGCCCTGGTGCGAAGATGCCATCAGTGCAAGATCTTCAGTTTCTGCCTGGAGGAACTCAGCATAGTCCTTCACCGCCGGCAGCGATGGTTGACGATCAACTTTGCTGAAGCCAGTCGGTCTCCAACCTGGACGCCACCGTGCTTGGAAAGAGCTTCAGCAACCTTCGACAAGGTTTAGACCAGAATCATTGGGTCCGGAACTGTGATCTGGAGTTCTTCAGCCCGGTTGAGCCACGTTGGCCAAGTGCGAAGCACTGTGGCTGCGCAGCAGGTTACTGCGTTCAGCACCACCTCCAGGTTGATAGATGGTGTACAGCTTGTACAGGATGGCAGCCGTTGCAACCTTCCGGCTCGCCACAATTTCACGCCGAACTGCATCCGGCAAAGATGCAAGCAATGTCGAGCTTGCCCTCTGATCCATTCTTTGGAATCTCACTGGAACCTGGTCCTCCACCTTCATGCGCAGTCGAGCAAGAGGTGAAGCCACCAGCCATTCATTGTACTTCACGCTGACCTCCTCCTGAATGAGCTCCCAGAACTCCTTTGAAGATTTTGAAGAGGCACTCAAATCACCCATGAGCGGAGTGATGATTGTCATCCAATCACCGAACAGCGGCGCCGCATTCTCAGCCGACGGAGCTGGTAGAGCAGGTAGTTCAAGGTTCCGCATAGCCTCAGGAAATGCGGTCACTGAGTCTGGGCCAGGCTTTGGAGGACCAGACATTGCAGAGAAGTCACCAGGGCCTCGATGGCCACCAAAAACACCAGTCAATCCAGGAGGAACGTCAGGAGGCCCACCTGGAGGAAGCGCACCAGTTCGTCCTCGCTCAACTGCGGAAGAGTGCTGGGCCACCTTTTTCGCGTCCAGTGCCGCTGCACTGTTGGCTGAAGCATAAGAGGCGCCTCTTAGGAGTGGATCCAAAAGACCTTGCCCTCAAGAACCACCACCTAGAGCGTGTTGAAGTACTTCAAAACTCTGACGTACTGCATGCTGAAGCTGCCCAAGCCCCAGCTGCGAAGCTCTTGGATCTTGCAAGATCCCCATCACTTGTTGGCTTGGTCCACCATGCTCATCACGAGGTGGATTTCCATGGGCTCCTGCGGCGGTGCAAGTGGGAGAGCTGCCGGGCGTAGAGAGTCTTGAGCACCAAGACCTGCTTCAAGTCGTCGAACACCTGGTCCTTCGATTGGTGCCGATGAAGCCCTCATTGATCTCTGGTGTTCTCGAATTTTTGCACCCAGCTCTCGATCAGCTGCACCGATTTCCAGCTCCGGCCGCCCGTCAGCATCTCGCTGACCTTCTGCAGCTGCAGCCGCTTCACGGGAGCGCTGCCTTCGGCGCCGATGCGATGCCACCGCCATGGGAGCCAACAAGTCCAAAAAAGGACGTGGTCTTCGCGCCCAACAATCACTTTGGGCTCATAACCTTTAAAGGTCGAGTGGACGATGCGACCGCGAGAGTCAAGCGGTCCTTTTCTTGAGCCAAATCAGAGCGAATGCCTTTGTGTTCAAGGCAACCATCATCGAAGATGCGAAATGCGAAAAGCTGAAAGGGGGTACACTTCTTGTTTTGTGCTGTGTGGACTTCATCAACCACAGTTTCAATTGACTTCTTACAGAGTAAGGGGGCTTCTTGCACTGTTTCCAGCACCTTGGCGTCTCAGCGCGTTCTTCGAGAACTTGAATCAACGGGATCTCCAACCCGTTGTCGAATTCAGCCCCTCGATATTCACCATCGCCGTCAGGATTTCAGCGCACTTTGACGCGTGAGCTGCACGGGCGAGAGCCGCACCGGCGTGAGTCCATCGACGGGATCACACCGTTGAGATTCGGCGTTCGCTTCGAGGATGGCAACGGCCGACAAAGAACATTAAAGGAAATTTCAATCACAGGCAATCAGCACCATAAATATACATGATATAATACATTGTAATACGTTTGTTTCCAAAAACATCCTGCTAGGCTACCCATTGTTATTGAATCCTTCCTGCCCTGCATGGCCATGGCCTGCATAAGGAATGGTCAGCAGCAATGGGCATGGTTTGGTCAGGGCCGGATTCAGGCCAAAAGGCACGCATGGCATTGCATGGGTGGTTCGCCGCCGAAGAAACTTTGATCATCCCTCATTGGTCGACTCAGATGGAATTCACAATTCAAGGGAGACCTTCCTTTGGTAGGTGTCGCGCACAGCTTGTTGCAAAAGAGCTGTGACGAGTTGCAGAGGCTTGCCACCATGTTTGGTTTCATGTGTTGCATTGTGTTGGGGTCCTTGCTTCAGTTTCAACATGATGATTTAGTGTGGGCCTCTCACGCGAATGCGGTAGAGTGACAACACATGGCAATACATTAGTCCTGCAAGGGTAACATGTAGAACAATCTGTGAACATCGTTGACAAGGACCCTAGGTCTGGTTTCATGACAGCCTTTGCACCCTCCTTCCTAAGCCATTTTTGAGGGGAGGGTGCTGACAACCTCTCTCCTCTTACCGTCTCGAAAGCCGAGTGTTTGTTGACGCAAACTAACCCACTATGCTCCAACTGGTAGTTTGCCAAGTCGCATTCTGACAGCGCAGGGGGCATATGTCCACCGTCTCGTTAATAGTTGAGGAATCTCACAACGGATGCGTACTGCGCACGTCTCCATCTCCAAGTTTGGCTAGCCACTCATGCTGCTGTCCATGGCCAACAGGCTGCGGGCCACTGGGAAGGACATGGAGTTCCATGTGGGCCGCTCACAGTGTAGTGGAGGCATGTGAAGGCCTGGGAGGGACGCAGAAGATGGGGATATGAAGACAGAAGTCAAGCGCAGCAGTCAGCAATTCCTTTGGCTTATCCACTTGTAAATGGTGCTTGCTTGAAGTGCCACATGGGAGTGGGTCAAAACTTGGACCTGATCTCCCTGACAACTGATAACTAGTCCATTATTTTTTGGACGGCTCCACCATACCCAGGGGGAGGGAGATGGACAGAGGGAGAATCATCACACATCGGCCGTCAGGTCATGTCCGCATCGCCCGGAGAATCTGTGACGCGTGACGAGGTTGGCGCAAAAAAGGGTCACCACGTCTCCGTGACCTAACCGATCCATTGATCCGGTCGGAGCATCTATCCGAGTCGGTGATGGAGATAGAGCCTGGATGTGTGCAGATGAAAGAGAAGTTTGATTATCCAAAAGCACATGTTTCGCTGGTAGCTGGTTGATCTTCATTGATTGGAACTGATTGCGCAGACTTGCAACTGGGAACTCGATCGAACTCGCAAGCAGACTTTGAGCGAAGACATGCCAGGCTGACAGAAGTGCCGCAAAGAAGGACCATTGTTTTATGTATATAATTTTACGATATTTTATGTGTTCCTATGGTTTTCAAACTAATCTTGTCCTGTACTTTCCTGTGCTATTTTAGCTATAACAGTTTCCGCCAAAAGGAGTACTGAGTACTGTATGTCACACGTTCTGTGAATGGGAGGCGGCAGCGGAGGTGCCCTTTTATGTTTGCAGATGGGTCCCACGCCTGCCATGATCTCTTGTCGCCGTGACACTGCATATATAACTCTTCATAGACCTAGCGATACTTGCTCAAACGTTGTTATCCACTCGCCTTGTCAAGCCCATGGCGGACCATGCGATTGTACTCTACGGCCAAACGCAGACAGGAAAGTCGACTTTTCTGAACCAAGCAGCTGAGTTGAAATTAGCGAAGTCCAGCCAGAGCGCAGGGAATTCAACTCCTGGAAGCTTTCTTCAAACATGTGATTGTGATTGATTGTGTAATTCTTTTGCATCTCTCCTCGGCAATCTTCATGTTTGCTTGCCTGAATAGTGCGCAGCTTCAGCTGAGGTGCTTGAGCCAGGGCAACAAGGTGTTTCCACAGGGGATGGCTCTGGAGAATCTGTCACGATCAACACTTCCCTGCGCACGACTTCCATTGGACCCGTGGTGGATGGGCCTGGCATCAATGACTCCATGCTAGGGTTTCGCTGGGCAGCTGCAGTGGCGGCTGCGAATGCTGAACGCCTGAAGGTCCTTGTTTTCGAGAGCTTGGCTGCACCAGCAATACAACTCAGGACTACTTTGGCATCTCTAGTTGCTGCTTTCGCCGCTTCTATTCTCCCGGGAGTAGTAGTGGTCGCCTCACAAGCCGACTTGCGCGTGGGGCGGGCACGTGAGGTGCGTGTGCAGGCATTGCGTGCAGCTATGGCAGAGCAGAGCATCAATGAGCTGGTGTTGTGGCAGCATGCCGAGTCCTTGGACGAGGCCGAAACGGACGCACAAGTGGGAGTGCTTGAAGCTGCCCTTGAACGAGTGCCAGGCTTGGTGATTTGATAGGATTTTTCAGACATCCGAAGTATTCATTCAATTCATTCAATGTCGCCTCATTCTGAAATAATTTCAGCCAACCCCCTACCATCCAGTCCAGTGGCTTAGCAATTTGTGCCAGGTGTGTCCACAACTCAGTTGGCAGATCTCTGGCAGAGGCAGCGGCGTCGAGCACAGGAGCTTTGCGATCGTCAGTCTCCGCGCACACGAGAGGTGCAGGTTGAGGAATCGTGGCTCGGCAGATACGTGTTTGACAAGGTGTGGCGTTGCCGCCTCAGCAACAGCAGAGTTCTAGTCGCAATGGCAGCCAGAATTGCGCCTTCGCGCGTCAAAGTCATCAAGCATGAGCTTTGCAAGTCTTGTGGCCCCAGCATGGGGAATAGAATTGGTCTTTTGGGTCAGTGTTGACCCACACGCAGCCCCCAACATACAACCTGAGGCGTTGTAGACATTACACAAGCTTGAATCACGAGCAATCGTTGCGTGCCCTAAGGTTTGCTGAGCCATACACCGAGCAGGAAGACTATGATGAGCAGGAACCCTACACCCATCACGAGCACTATTCTGTCTCTGTGCCATACTCAGAGGAGGAACAGTACGAAGAGAATGAGCCCTACACCACCATTGAGAAGCAAGCGGTGCCAGTGGAAGTGACTCACACCGGGAAGACTTGGTATGGTAAAAAGAAGCGCCGGACCACATTGGAAACCAAGTGGGTGGACGTGGAAGTGCAAAAGCTCAGGCCAGTCACCCGCACTCGCACAGTGACAAAGTATAGAACAGAGGAGAGGACGAGGCCAGTGACACTATACCGGACCGTGACGAGGCAGAGAGCTGTGACGAAATACCGCACTGCAACTCGCACGGTGCCCCGCACAGTGCAGTACACACGGCCAGTGACGGACTTCTATCAAACAGCTTTGGGGCAGATTGTGGAGGAGGTCCGGGCCACCTTTCGTGCGCAGTGATTCCTCTGAAGAAATAGGCGGGCCGGCTGGCTGATGGATTCATCTACCAATCGCCTGGACTTGGAGTTATCCCTCACTGTTTGTCACCAACCATGTAAAGTCTTGTGTTCCGCTTCTACTGCAACTGTCAGAGGCCGTGGAATGGCAGGATATCTGGAAGAAGCAGCTTGGTGTCCCCAGACTGCATTTTGCTGACAGTTTTGTGTCAAACTGCAGTGAAATGATTGACATGTTTTGATGCATTGGCGCTCAGGCAAGCAGTATTCCAGACCCGGGACTCCACACCGACTGAGCGCTAAAATGCAGTTGCATTATGTATTGCAAACTTTTAGTAAATCTAGACTCTAGACATCGCATCTAACTGCCTTGTTCGCAACAAATGCTTCTGCGAGAAGCTTTAGTCGCACTTTCCTCCATGCTGAGAGCACAGCCTTCAGCACGTTGAGGCTTGTGACACGATGGAAAGAAAGAGCTGACAACACCATGCTTATGCTTCTGCAGATGCAAAGCTAGTGTCTCATTTAGCTCACGGCACCACACGGTTCCCCGATCTTTGTACAAATTCCACTTATGGACCTATGGAATTCCTTTCGGGTTCTGCCAGAAGCTTCAATTTTGTGGCCCCTGAGTCAGGGGGTGGGTTCCGCGCACCTGGCGCTCTTCCTCCATGCTGAGAGCACAGCCTGTAATACGTTCAGGCTCGTGATACGGTGGAGAGATAGCTGAGAACCCCGTGGGCAATGCTGGAAAGATTCAGTGAGACTCATGATGGTTTTGGATGCTTACTTATGATGCTTCATGCACGTAGCTTCTGTCAGATCCTTTCAACTTGCGCGGGTGGCAGATCAACTCTAGATTCTAGATTGCACCACATTCAGTCGAGTCTTGCCCACACCCTTTCGTCCAGTGCACGAATGAGCAAGCCTTTCTGCTCTCATCGCTGCTTGAGGCAAAAGAAAGATGTCTCCGTGTGTATGTGTATGTGCGTGTGTGCGCTGAGCAGTTTTGGCGAGCCAATGGCAGGATGTGGACTAGGCGAACTAAATTTCTTGAGTTAAGAAGACTGAGTCTTATTTTTTGGCAAGCTAAAGGTGAAGCCAATCTGGCTTTGTTTGTTGATGTTTGTTTCTATGAAAGGTCGAGTGGACGATGCGACCGCGAGAGTCAAGCGGTCCTTTTCTTGAGCCAAATCAGAGCGAATGCCTTTGTGTTCAAGGCAACCTGTGACATCATCGAAGATGCGAAATGCAAAAAGCTGAAAGGGGGTACACCTGTTGTTTTGTGCTGTGTGGACTTCATCAACCACACTCCTAGAAATTCCAAAAACTCAAACTCATCATCCGACTCAGAGTCTTCACCAGGAAGAGGTCGATCAGCAGCGGCCTTTGGAGCCCCC